AGAGAGAGAGAAAGAGAGACAGAGAGAGAGAGAATCGAAAGTGGAGGGAATCGAAGCGCAGAAAGGGGGAGGTCATTCATAGTTGTCGAAAGTGGAGGGAATCGAAGTGCAGAAAGGGGGAGGTCATGTCCGGCTGGCTTATGTGAGGTCTGGCTCAATCGCATCACGTGGAGGGAGTGCGTTCGGGGGGATACGTTAGGATTTAAGGTGTGTTTCGTTACGTATTTTGTATAAAATCCATTTTGAAAAGGAAAAAGTTCATACAAAAAAAAAAAGTTGGACCTCTGTCCACCTCTATGTATTGATAATACTAAAACAAGAACCACATACCATAACATCAGAAATTTTCTGATAAATTTTTCATAATAGAAGAACAATGAAAGACAAAAGAATATGATCTTTAGAACAGCTACACAGCACTCCATATCAGTGCACGAACAGGTATATAACCATGCAAGAAACCCCATTCAAAACTATAAACCCTTCGTGATCTAACTTTCTAAACCAACAAGTTCTCCCCATATAATAATAATGGCCATGTCAATATCTCATAGTCTAGAGCTCAGAAGTGTACGTCATGGCTAATCTAATGACTGAAGAAACAGTAATCGAATGCACCAACATTCTGTTAATAATGCATCAATAAGAATCAAGTAATTCAACTGAAACTAGCAATAAAGCGTGGCAGAGGCAGTATAATAAATCATTACAAATTTCTCACTCAAATTGATTTTGAGCCATCCCTCAAATGCAAGGTCTAGAGTCAATTGATTTATAGCTTTTTGTGAGCTACAAATCAAATTCTATTTCATTGATCATAGGGATGAGTAAAGATCAACTATTAATTTCAGATCAAACAAATGCCCCCTACCATGAGTCTTGGGACCATGTGTTATCAGTTTTCAAGCTAAACACCTGAACTTTACCTATTTCACTAACTTTCATATAGTTTCAAGCACGAAACTATCTGAGAAGTTCTTGTCGTTTGTTTTCTGCAACAACTTGGAAGTGCCATAGGTTGAGTTATCCAGTGGGAAATGAGTTATATGCAACTAGTTGCGAACTTGTTTCATGGGGCATTTCATTCAGTATGAAGCATTTATGTATCACAATGGTGATCATGTAGTGGCTGATGGATTGACTCTTCTAACTTTATTTGTACTTTCTCACAGTCTAACATGGTTATTAATAGAGCTCTTGTTGGGATGACTATTTGATCATTTTTTGTCAAGTTTGTAGTTGTTCATGTGCTTGGGAGTTGAGTTTGATTGTTGCTGCATTTTATGTTGATAGAGGACTATTTAGACTTTGCTTGATAGAGTCTCAAAAATGAGAGAAAGACATGTTTTCATAGGTATCACTGAAGATGCAATTTATCATTGCCCTTTTTATTCCCTTGTTTTATTACAATTAGGAAAGTATTTCCATTTTCTTGGTTTGTCGTTTCAGAGAGAGAGAGAGAGAGGGATTGTTGAACATGGTTCTGGTGCTTATGCATCTACTGATTAGGATCAAAAGAATATGAATTTGTTGATTGTTGAACATGGTTCTGGTTCTTCTCATGTAAAATTGGCTTGATTGTAGTCATGTCTGAAATTTGTGATATATTACCTGTTGTTGAATATGCATCTGCTGATTAGGATCAAATGAATATGCATCTGTTGATTGTTGAACATGGTTCTGGTTCTTCTTATGTGAAATTGGTTTCATTGTTGTCATGTGGACCATGTTTTGGTTTGAGATTTTAGCTATAAAGGCTTCTATTGAGAATTTACATTTATTGGAATGATGTGAATCGATCTAGGTGATATTGTATTTAAATTTTAAACAGGGTTGTCATGTCTCCAGTTCAAAAGTTCTAGGGTGAATCAAACACATGTAACCAGAACTTCCACATTTCAGCATGTAATCAAACATAGGTAACCAGAACTTCCTTAAATTCCAGCAGGCTATCAAACACAGTACCCAGAACTCATTTTAACCTTCCAGAACAAATAAGTCCCCTTCCCAGCAAATAAGAACTTATTTTTCTAGGGAACATTTATCTTCCAGCAAACTTCCAGCAAACTTCCAGCAAACAAACGCACCCCCAAAGATTTAAAAATATACCCTGAGATGTTTTCATCCAGTGCTTATCAAATACCACCCCCATCCATGTAAATAGTAACGACAAAATACCCAATATCAACAATTTCCAGAACATTATTGATTCATAAGCAAGAACACCAATAACTAACTAATAAGATTTTCCATAGAAATTGATTTTCAGTTATTGGACTAGTCACTTTTGATCCTTAAAAGCGTACAAAAAATGGTCATTTAAGTGAAATTCACCAAAGTAATGGCAAAGAACCAGCCATCGAGAAATAACTCCATAAAAATCACTACACTAGAGTATCTAAACCCCCAATATATGTCATAAGCAATTTAATCTCTATGGTTATCAAATACCAATCCAGTCATGTGTGGAACTGCATTTGCATGTCAAAAGACACAAGTAATGGTAATAAAGTGACAGAGGCACAACTCTGATACATAATTGTGGAGCTTGAAGGACAAGGAAAGAGGAGCCCTGCTTGCAATGATATCCAATCCCCTAAAGCCCCAAAACTCTTTCTTGGTAGTGTTCCAAGAGGTGACCATGTCGCGAACTGAATCCTTGACACCAAACATACCAGCTTTCCTAATGAATGTGCTTGCATTCATTGCAGATGCATCAGAGCGCAGCAATGGTTCTCAAATTGCATCAATTACATCATTATACACATCTTCATTATAGTATGGCAATGGCAATCACCAAATAAGAGTAAACTCATGGAGGATAAGAGACTGGGATGAGTCTCAAGTACCCCCACAGTTGATACATATACTTTCTTTTTCAAGCATAAACACAAAATAAGCCCTTTTGTCCCAAAAAATATGACAACAAATTCAAGTTTCAGCAGGCTTATCAAAAAAGAAAAAAGGAAAAAACAACCAAAACATAAAGATGGTGATGTGCGGATGCACAATTAAACAACAACAACCAAAAAAAAAAAAATGCACAATTAAAGAAAATTAACAGAAACAAAGAAGTCATATTCTTTCGTAGAAACTTCCAATGAACTTTTTATGGTGAGGAAAGATGCATTTCAAAATAAACTGACAATGAGAATTAATAGGGGCATGCTCCTAAAAGAACAGATAGTAAGCGTAAGTAGATAAAATGGCGATGTAGATAAGGGAGGAGACACATAAAAAAATTAAATCTGGCTCAAAAATAACCATATAATGAGACATGAGAAAGGTGCATACCTCCCACTGGAAAGTATTTCCTTCAATGCCTACTGCTTGAACAGACCCTACACCCTAAAAAAATCAAGTTAGAGAGCGATAGAGAGAGCATACTTGAGAAAATGTCCTAAAAATAAAACGGGCGACAGAGATAGAGAGAGCATACCTGGTTCAGATGAGCAGCCTGATGGTGCATATATATGGTTTGCAGAGCAATCGTTTCTTGGCAGAGAGAGTGGCTCTTCTTCGTAGAGCGATATCAGTTTTGCAACAGTAAAGAGTGATTCTTCTTCGCAGAGCGATGTAGGTTTCTTCACAGAGAGGAAGAGGCTCTTCGCAAAGCTTTGTAGGTTTCTTCTCAGGGAGAGGCTTTCTTCGCAACGTTTCTTGACAGGGTTGTCAAAGACATTAGGTAAGGGCCTGTTTGATAACTGGAAGCAAGTTCATGAACTGTAAATTGGAAGTTTCTGAAGAACTATACATTAGTAGTTCCTGAAGAAGTTCCTAGTTTCCGTGTTTGATAACATCCCTGAGAAGTTAAGAAGTTGCTGGTTTCTGTGTTTGATAACCTCTTGGGAACTTAAGAAGTTCCTGGTTTCTGTGTTTGATAACCTCCTGGGAAGTTAAAGAAGAACTGGGTATCTGTATTGGATTAGCTTTAAGAAATAGGCAAGATGTAAATGTTAAAATTGAGACCTAGATATTATTTATTTTTTATTAATTTGTAGAATATTATTTTTTGGAATACAATATCAATTGAAAGTAAAGTAGAATATTATTTTTCTGTAATAACTTGAGCACTACTTATATTCACCACTGATACATCCATATCCCAACCTAAAAAATATACGTCATTCACAAGTCGTGCACATAACATTTGTGCTCTCTCTCTCTCTCTC